TGTGTTAACATTGTTTGTACTGAATCATCTATTTGATATTAAAGTGTGTGGTTTCCAACAATATTAATGCTTATTGCTGACTGAGTAAAGTATCATGTAAATTGTAATGACGAATGATGAACAAATGAAAAATTTATGACGTAATATCACTTGAGAACTGCAATGGATTTTTACAAAGGTTATACAGAAAACCAACGCGGCGTTGGTCATAGTCGTGATTATAATGCATTTTTTCTCCCCGTCATCGAAAAAAAAGGTACTATTATTATACATTACTAGCTGTGCCCCGCGGTGTTCCACGCGGTTTATTAGGAATATTTTCCCGCAGTAAAACGTAGCCTATGTGTTAATCCAGTCAGATAACTCGATACCAAATTTTATTAAAATCGCTCCAGCCGTTTAGACGTGAAGAAGTAACAAACATACACACTCACAAACTCACAAAGTTTCGCCTTTATAATATTAGTGTGATTAGAATGATTTTCTAATGTAAGCGTAGTAAATTAATTAGTATTTATCTTGCATAGGTAGCGAGATATTTGTGATGGTGTAATACCAGCCATACACACTACGAGAAATCGTTACGATCAGACTGTACAGTTCGAACGGTACCGATAATCGTAGCGTGTATGTTATAAAACTGCACAGTTTTCTATACGTATGCCACGTCCGATAAACTGCTCCGTTCGAACTGTACAGTCTGATCTTAACCATAATACGTGACCGAGTGGTATGTTCTTTCAGGGTGTCGCCTACTAGGAGGACCAGGGTTCGAATCCCGGTGGGGCATCATATTAGTATGATGAATACGAGCATTTGTACTTAAGTCATGGATGTTTATAATAATATACACTTGCCTGCAAAACTATTTATCACAATTTTAAAATTGCAATCAAGGTGCAATTAAAGAAAAGGTGATAAAATTTGCTAGTAATTATTTTACATCTCTTAACTTTTAAAGTTTAGCAAAAAAAAGGAAAATTTAAAAAATATGATATTCAGTTTTGCAGGCCAGTGTATCACCACATAAATATACTTTTAAATGTGATCTAATTCTTCTTCTAAGTTGCTCTCTGAGCTTTGTGATAATTTCTTTTGGGAAGATCCAGGTCTCAGCTCTAAGAAAGCATTGGTAAGATTCATAGGTCAAAAATACGAGCTTGAACGCGAATTCTATTTTAGAATAGGCTGCTTATGCGAGTCATAAGCCTCGGTTGATTTTATTCGATCAGTTTTCCCATTAGGATCTCTTGACCAAGATACACATATTTATGTATTCTTTCTATGGCAGTTTGGTCACGGTAATGTTTGGTTTTGTGTTATTGAAACAATTTGTCATAATCTTGGTTTTGTCGAAGTTTATTTCTAACCAAGCCGCCTAGAAGTCTCGCTACGTTCCTGTATCTGATTTCCTGTTCCTGTGATGAGTTCTGATCTGAGTTCTTGATCTCGAGATCCATTGCGCAGCCAGAAAGCAACACTATATCATCAGCGAGCCTTAGTGGGAAATTATTATATTTTTTATAGTACAGACTTACAAACCGCTCTTAAAATTACTTTTAAAAATACTTTTATAATTCGTTTTTGTATTTCTAACCTCTATATCGCTGATTACTGAAATTTATTAAACAAATAACTATAATTACGTCACAACAATATCAAACTAAAAACTTATCATTAAAAATGAACCCTAAAATATTTATAGACATATTCACAAGAAGAATATGTCATCCAAAATTCCAATTTGGGGCACCGCTCTTAAAGCATATTACGCCGATGCGTATTCCTGGCTATATTACAGTGAGATATTGTGGGGGAATAGAACTGCTGTCTAAGGTATGTCGTGATACAAAATAAGTGCATAAGAATACTAGTAAAAATTTAACAAACTGAAAGCTGCAGACGGCATTTTAAAAAACTTAAAATTCTAACCTTTTAACAAGTTAAAATATTTTCGAACTCTGTAAATTTGTAAAACAAAACCCAAGCTATTTTAACACTAACAAGCAAATAAGGGAAAATAAATTAAACATACGTTTTAAAGATAATCTCCACTTACCAGCCAGTAGATTAGACATGTTTAGCAGTAGTACATTTGTCATGTGCATTAAAATATAAGTATAATAAAATTCCACAACACTTGAAGTCGGAGGTTGATGATTAATTATTTCTAAGAGCTTTAAAAGATTATTTAATAGGCAAAGCATTTTATAGTTTGGAAGAGTTTTCAAAGTAACAAAATGACATTATACTTAATTGACATTGTAAAATACTTTATTGACATTGCATTTTAATGAGCGCTTATAATAAATTGAATGATATTTATTTCAATCAAGTACCCAGTTGTGTCGAGCCACGTTGACATGTTAAAATTTGACGACCTCCGTGGCCGAGTAGTTTGTACGCCGGGTTTCATGGTGTCGCCGACTCGAGAGGTCCCGGGTTCGAATCCTGGTGGAGGCAGATATTTGTGTGATGAACACGAGCATTTGTACTCCAGTCATGGATGTTTAATATGATATGTATTTCTATATAAATATACTTATATTATATATGTACTGTATATGTATTCTATCCGTTACCCTTGTTTTTTGGGAAGGTGAAAATGCATTTACGCACTTCCCACGACCGTGCCCTGCCGTGGGGGTATGTGGGACTCCACGGGACATATATCACGCCGCGCCGCGACTACCCACTAAAAACACCTCCTGCGGTTCCATCTTCACTCGATGGGGGAAGGGTATCAGCAAGCCTTTGCCCCAGACCCCAACCGTGAAAGCGCCCTCTCGGGCTCTCCTCTTTGCACTCACTCCCATGTGTGCGTTGGCACGAACCGCGGGACGTTCTGGACTCGACTCGAATTGAGGAATCCGCCCGTCTCTCTCTGGGGGTCTATCCGTTAACCCTTTTTTTTTTTTTTTTGGGGAAGGTGAAAATGCATTTACGCACTTCCCACGACCGTGCCCTGCCGTGGGGGTATGTGGGACTCCACGGGACATATATCACGCCGCGCCGCGACTACCCACTAAAAACACCTCCTGCGGTTCCATCTTCACTCGATGGGGGAAGGGTATCAGCAAGCCTTTGCCCCAGACCTCAACCGTGAAAGCGCCCTCTCGGGCTCTCCTCTTTGCACTCACTCCCATGTGTGCGTTGGCACGAACCGCGGGACGTTCTGAACTCGACTCGAATTGAGGAATCCGCCCGTCTCTCTCTGGGGGTCTATCCGTTACCCTAGCATCCCATAACACAAGCCTTACAGTGCTTACTTTGGGGCTAGGCTAATTGGTGTGAGTGTTGGAAATATTTATTAATTTATTTAATATTATTCAATTTTTATTTATTTTAAAGTTAATTGTTGTATTGTATTATAGTGCCCCAACGGGGTTCCATGTTTGTACTTAATGTGTTATATTTTAAGACATTTTAATCCATGGAAACAATAAAGAATTGAATTGAATTATTTATGGGTTAACAACCCATTTTTTTATGTTAAACAATTTTAATAAATAAATTATTTTACGTTTTTAATGAACTAACAACAACATATTAGATAATTAGGTTTGTGATTCGTATTGAAAGATAATATGGTATAGGTTCCCTTTGTCTTGTCACCCTTTGGGGTACGGAACTTTAAAAACAATCTTTAATGTGGTAAATGTTTTGCGAAACTAAAATTATTAAGTAATCAACTTGAATATTAAGTAACTATACTTTACACTCTTATGAAATAAAACATTGAAACCATTCTAATTATAACTAGACACTGATTTATGATGAACTTTTAAATGTGTTCACATCATAAGTAAACACAGAAGCGTCTTAATTATAATCTATGATTGAGTATGTGTTTGCCCATACAACTTTTCATGACAAAAGTTTTTTTAACAAAATATAAAAACCGACTTAATTAAAAACAAAGAAACAATGTTACTTATAGTAAGTTAAGAATATGAGTTTTATTTTTATGAAGTCGGCTTTATTTAAAAAAAAGTTTTTATCATTGAATAAAGTCAAATTATCATTTAATGATTTTGTTTTTGTTTTTTACCTTTTAGTGGTTTTTTTTATTTTTCACTTTTTGTAAGCCAGAGCAACATCAACTTATTAAATATAAACGTCGGACCTGTAACCTCACTTTTATATTTCATAAAATAACAAAACACGATATGTGTACTTTTCGTATTTGAAGAGTTCCTTCGTTTATCTCCGAAAGTATTAATCAGATCTTCGCCAACTTAATATGGGACCATTTTGCATACAAACTCTTACAACACAAACAAAAAAAGAATCATCATAATCGGTTGTTGACCGACCCCGAAGATATGCGCGAACAACAATAAAAAAAATACATACATCAAAAAAAGTCTAATCAACATGGATCATTTTTATCAGTTGATATTTTATATTATCGTTATGAAATGTATAAATTACTTCAACGTTTTTTGCTTTAGTCATTAATATATCAAATTTGTTATTATTAATTGAATAATACAAATAAGTATTGAAAATATTAAAAATCAAAAAAGATCGTATTGCTTAGACTATTAATTAAAAAAAAAGGTTGTAGTACATGAAACCAACTTTTTGAGTTTTTGTGGTTTAGCCTCAACAAAATGGTGAAAGTATTTTAAATATTAATAAATTATATCCGTTGGTACGAATCGACCGTATGCGCGAATCAACTCGCATAACATAAGCCAATTATGGCCAGTGTGTTTTCTAAATTTTGTATTCTATGCCTTATCGCAATATCAAACTGAGCCCAAAATGCACCAGTGCCATCGTCCAATCGCATCGCGTCAGACAGCCATGGCGCGTCAAAGTTTTTTTTAAAATTTATTTTAATGACCATGACGTTACGACCGGTCGGTCTAAACTCGCCCGTGTAATAGTTTTATAGATACATTTTTGTTATACGGTTCGTATCTCTAGTGTCAATAAGTCGTGTGTTAGTCTGTGTGCGATGTACTCGTATAAGCAATGCGATAACAATACATTGCGAGCGGCGCATTTTAACTAGTGCTTGCAATATTTAAACCAGTGTGGACCGTAAAAACAAGTGGTTTTTGTCTATTTTATTTTTAGATTGTGTCTTTTAAAGTAGTGGATGAGTGAATGTTGAGTGGAATATTCCATTGTGTTCGTGCGCACTGCTAAATTTAATGTAAGTGGAAAAAAATACATACTTTTATTTTCGAATTTACTAAAATGAGTTTTTTTTTACTTTAGAGGTGTTAAAAATTCGGACAGCTTTTATTGTAAGTTATCGATGCAAAAAATGCATTTAAACTATTCATAAAAATAAAAACTTTGTTTTTTGAGTTTGGTATTTGGTTTTCAATTTGGAGATCGTCAAATATTTATTCTTTCTTAACTTCAACGTAATGTTTTGATACAAATGTTAGTAACAGCATTGTTTTTAGGCAGTGCGTAATTAAGTTTTTTTAGAAAGCTAATTCTATTTCTAAATAAACATTAACACAAAGAGATGCACACAGTCAAGTGTATGGTTGTGGTTTTTGCTGTAGATAACAAATTATATATGTACAAGGAAAATATTGATTAAGATACAGTCTGTGAAATGAATGAATGAATCCTTGAGAAAAAACCTTCCTCAAACTGATTCACTTTGACTAACATTTATATTCGTGAGTTCTAACTCAAAATAAATAGATTATGTTCTAACATAATCTATTTATTTTCACAACGAAGTTTAAAAGATTAAATATATACTGAAAATACTAATCCCGATCGGGATTCAAACCCGAATTCTTAGCACCCACTAAGATCAACGTCTAAATTACCAGTTTCTCACACACTTAACTTATATTTATACTATATATTTTATTATCAAAAATAAATAATATCGATATCTAAGACATCCGCTAGTTTAAAATATTTATTTTTTACTTATAACATATATAAAGACTTAGGTTAAAATCATGCTAAAAATATAATAAAAATTAAAGTTTAAAATTATAATAAAAATTTTGCGAGTCCAAAATGTCATTGGCAAATGTATACTGATTTTCAGTTCTCGTTACGTCCGTTTTGGCGCTACCGTTCTAGTTTCCACGCATAATTTGACAATAACATTTCGCAGTCGCAAACTTTTCGAATTCGATATTAGTTCGTGCCAAGGGTACAGTACCACAAGCACGAACAACAAGCGAAAAAGTATTCGCATCGTCATGTCAAAGTTTCTGAGGAAAACGCTAATTTGTTCTTGCGGCCGGTAGGGGCGCTGCTTATTCTCCATAGAAATTATGACGTTGGCGATACGCAAGAGGATCTGTCAAAGTTGAAGGTTGTGGGTACAGGTGTACGAACTACTCTACCACGCACGGCACGATGGCGACCGAAAAAAAAAATTACACCCATACTAATAAAATTGGCTTGAATGAAATGAAAAATCTTTATTGGCCATCTAGTATATAAGAAACAGAGGAAAAAAAATATAAAAAAAGCTTAACCTAAGAACAACAATTAATACTAGATTTAAGACGGCCAATCAGGACCCCGCCTCAGCTTATGCTGATACAATGAGAAAATATTCTCTCACTGTATCAACGCTGGTATTCTGGCATATTTGAGGACGTGTTAGGCGCTATAGCAAACAAAATAACATGTATATTTGGTGTCGATTCTGGCGTGACTTTGGCTTAGACCCAAAGAAGGTAACGAAAAGGATATTGTAAAAATACATAGATATACATAATATTTATTATAGATGACTCTCATAATGACTCAAGTCATACTTGAATTTGAACATGACCTTGAACACTAATTTCCACCACGGAGGACGTTATCATCATTATGTAATGCATTTAAACATCATGTAACTGTTTCCAATTCATTGCTGTTTATGTTTTCATCTAATAATATAAAAGGCAACCGTTGCTGGTGGTTAGCAGCCGCGATAACGGCTAACTCTCTGGTTACCCTCTGGTTACCCTCTGGTTACCCGAGGTCCGAGTCTCGGAGACGCCCTCTAGTTGAGCCGACCTCAGGTTGAGTGCACTAGAGGCTCCAGACCGAGAGGAGTCTCCCCCCGTGGGGTGATGCCATCCACCTGGAATACCTCCAGAGGCATTCGTCAATTTTTGGCTTGATATCCCCTTAGGATCTCGCCGTCCCCAAACCCGGTGATGCTGTAAAGGTCATCTGCGACCAACAGCATACACACTGAAAAAAAAACCGTTGCTGACTGACTGATCTATCAATGCACAGCTCAAACCACTGAACGAATGTCGTTGAAATTTGGCACATATAACAATTAAAATGCAGGCGAGTACTAAGAAAGGATTTTTCAAAACTCACCCCCTGAAGGGGTAAAATGGAGGTTCAAAGTTTGTATGAGAAATCAATATTTCCACGCAGACAAAGACACAGACACCTACTAGTTTATTATAAAACAGAAGAGTACGCTTGTTAGGTTAACCACGCTTTTTTCTCGCAGTAACTACCAACTGGTTCGGATCGAAATACATAGTTATTAATAATAAAAAATATGGGTGCGTGTACTTAAGTACGCGCGTGAGAAGTTATACTTCTTTTTGGAATTATTAAAAAAATAGTTTTTAATTGCATGCAGATAAATAATTACAATAAGATAATAAAAGGATTGGAAAAGGATAGTCAACGCAGTCAATAAAGTTCAGTTTTAATTTGAAAAATTTAATAAATAATCAAAATATTCAATTTAAATCACTACTGAAAATTTCGCATTTGTATAACATTATAACACGTGTTAAGAATATAGAAATTAGAAACATGTGGATAAATATTATAAATATGAAAACAGTGATCAGAGGCGACGAGCGTCCCAACATGTGCGACTAAGAGATCCTATTACTATTTTGTTGGAAGCTTTTTTTCGAGACTTACGAGTAATGTGCGGTTTAGCGGCCGACTTCATGGTGTTACTTTTCTGTTACAGAGTTGCGCGCGCATCTTAAAATTTCACTCTCATCATTTTTTCATAACGCGCCCGCGGCTATCTTCATTATGTTACTTTTGTGTTACAGTGATGCGCGCGCATCTTAAAATTTCACTCTCATATTTTTTTCATGACGCGGCTAAAGAAGTATAACTTCAATAAATAAATAAATATTTCCGACACTTACACCAATTAGCCTAGCCCTGTCATGTAGGGACGTCTATTAGAATAGAATAAAATAGAATGATTAGTTATTTGCGTTTGAACCTTATATATTATTATTAATTTACTGTTTGACACTAATGAAATCAGAGAACGTGTTTTTGTTTTTTGTTCATTGGGGAAAAAGATGGCAAACTAGTATAATTAATTATGAACCATCAAGGCAAACCGTTCGCACGTAACAGATTTATAAGAAGCTTGCGATACTGTCTGTACATAAGGTATCACTCGCAAGAACTATTTAAATAAATTCCGCCTGCACCTTTTTACACCCCACGACAACGGCTAGGTAGAGCCGAGGTCCGAGTCTCAGAGACGCTCAACTAGAGTTGAGCCGACCCCCTCAGGTTCGAGTGGTCTAGAGGCTTCAGACGGAGAGGAGACTCCCCCCGTGGGGAGACGCCATCCGCTTGGAATAACTCTAGAGGCAGTCGCCAATTCTCGGCTTGAGGTCCACTTAGGATCTCGCCATCCCCAAACCTGGTGACGCTGTAAAGGTCATCTGCGACAAACAGCATACACCACTCAAAAAAAAACCTTTTTACTACCGGGCGACGAGACATAGACAAGGATAACATCCGAACGTAGTTGAAATTGTTCCACTGCGTACCTCACGATTCGGATCCTCATTCATCATGCGAACCGCTATAAAATGGGATTCCTTCCTGCGTAATTATTCCCCACACATATTTTAAAGGGATCTTCAAAGCAAGAGTAAATACCACAGAACACATAACAGGTGAAACGGCATTTACACTGCCCAATTTTAAGTGGTAGCAAGTGGTAGGTACACCGCGCCGATCGTCCAATAGCGGGTCCCTTACTCTCTAACTCACATTACGCCACTCTTAGTGCGAGTAAGAGTTCCTTAAAATTGGGTAGTGAAAATGATGATTACAAACCGTTTGAACGGCAACCGATGTCGCCGGCTCGCCCCCACTACACTTCCACCTAATAGATAATAGCCAATCAAACGATGCGACATCTAACAATCGAACCAATCAGCGCTCACATCCCAGAGCAACAACGCGATTAGAGCCAAGTTTTGGTCAAGTTATAAGCTCTGCTCACACATAACTGTGGCGCGCTTGCCCCGCACACAAGGCCCTTCTAACCTGTTTCTGTGTTCTGTGGTAAATTCACATTATTTGAGTCTGCGTGCTCCAGCTTGACCACATCATTGCTTAACATCTGGTGCGACTGTGGGCAAACTCACTCAAATCTTTTATAAAAAAAATGTTGCCTTCACTAACCTCATCCCCAACCCAATGAGCCCTGGTGTAGTATACAGATGGAGCCCTCTTCCTTCCTTGCATGATAGCCGGTCTCACTGGATCTTTTCTCACAACCCCTTCCATCTCGCTAGCTCCCTGCGTTGGTGCGAACGTGTATCTCAATGCCCCATCGGCTTCCTGCATCAAGAACCATGATAATGTCACAATTTCCGGGTACGCCGTGCCTTCGTGTATCCAGACATAGTCGCACCAATGTGACTTGATGTGAGGACCCAGTTTGTCCGATACCTCTCTTGCCAGAAGCGGGTTGTACAAATATCCTTTTCGGTCGATGTTCTTCAGTACGCACACGATGTTCTGTAGGCATACTACGCAGCTATTCAGATCTGTTGTCGATGAAGTGGGTTTTGGCATTCTCCCCAGCACCAACAAAAACAACACCACCAAAATGAAGAGTTATTTTACGGAGTCTTCTGCAAGGTGGAACCCTAATAAAAGCAATCTCTTAAAGTTACATATTTTATTTTACCGGTTATGGGTTTAATTAACAATTTCTTTATATTGATTTTATAGATCTTTATATTTTTAAAAAGGTTGTTTGTTTGAAGAAATCACTAAAAATGGTGAACCTATTTTAAATCCTGAGTAACAAGATGTATTTTATTATCGTATTAAAATAAACTTTACTAGTGCAAAGCTAGTCGATACTCGCTATTCGAATACAAAAGTATGTCAATCATGAACACTATATCAATTAATCCCACCAGT